ATCATTGGGGAAGAGAGGAAAAAATAAAACAAGACGAAATCAGAGGGAGAAAAACCATGAGACTCTTAAACTGGGTTTAAGAGGGTTGTTGGAGGAGAGGTGGGGAGGGAGGATGGGGTAACTGGGTGATGGACATTAAGGAGGGCACGTGATGTAATAAGCACTGGGTATTATATAAGACTGATGACTCACAGACCTCTACCTCTGAAACCAAACTATATGTTAATTATTTGAATTTAAGTAAAAAGATTAAAATCTTACTTTGATAAAACTGATGAGTATAACCTGAAAGAATAATTACTTTAAATGCTAGTTAAGATAACTAGTAACTACTAGTAAAGCATTAACTAGGACTATAAACCAACAATATTTCAAACTGTGGTATTAAAACAATAAAGAGGAAATTTGTATTACATGTGTTGAAAAGACTAATTAGCAATTAAAAAAATGTACATATATATATATATATATATATATATATATATATATATATATTGAGCCTCACAACAATAACTCTGGGACCCTGGCAGGACAGATCACATTATTTTTATTTCACCAACACAGAGAAAAGAAATCCCTGGCCCAGGTCTTCATATACATTCTTGATTTCTGAGTCATGACCTGGAGGAGGCTCTGGGCTTGGACATTCCTGAGAGAACCTTTGGAGGCAGCCTGGCTTCTTCTCTAACATGGGTCTTGAGCAAGAGACTGAACCCAGCCGCAGGGGTTTTGGCCAATAGTCTGCATATACCCATGGAGTCCTGGAAGAGGCATGGGCTTTCTGCGCAATTTCCTATACTACTGCCACGGACCTTCAATAATGACACTACTTGCTGTGCAATCTATTCCTACTACAGAGTGAGGACCAGTTGCAACAACAGTGAATCTACTGATAATCATTTCTCTACCCGCGCATTCATCCCTCCATCATTTCTTCGCTCTGCTCACTCGAAGAGCCTAGAAATGATAGTCCAGTAGCAATGAGCACACCTGGCCCCAGATCCTGGTTTCTAAATGTTATCTCCTACAAAAAGAAATCAGGGTTTCCTGGGGGACATTGAGGATTCCAGGACTTTGACGGAAAAGTGCAAGGTGAGCCTGGAACAGCTCTTACCAGATAACAAAGAAGCAATCAAAGATTAATGAGATCCTGTCAGAAGAACACAGGAGATCTTAAAAGTTCTCAACAAAAGAAAAAAAACCACTCTATTTTTGTAACTATGTGTTGTGGTGGATGGTAACTAAACCTATCATGGTAATCATTTACCAATATATACATTTACCAAATCATTATATGTGATTTATATCTCAATTAAGACAAAATACAACACAACAGAGAAGCTGGCCTGAAGGGACTCTCCTTGGCCAAACTTGCAATAATCTGAGTACCAAAAAAGGTTAATGATGATAATGGGCTATATTATACACTGAATTAAAAGAAGAACATGAGTCTATGTCACTCCATAAAGAAAAAAGACAGGGAGAGGAGACTAAGAAAGACACACACAGAGGAAGAAATTATTCTATTAACAAAGAATACCAGTCAATAAATATAGAAAGAATGGCACAATTAGAAAATCACCATTTGCAACCCTCAGTGTTGCAATTCGGGCAAGGATCATGGATGTAGTGAAAGGTACAGGGAACACACATTTTGATAGTCTCAAAGAATCACTCCAAAGACTAATTACAAGGGGAAAAATTACAGAGATGGGGAGATTAGGCAGTTGTGACCTTAACCAACAATCAAATTTAGCACTGATGGACAGTATGAACCTGATATCATCCGCTTCCTGATGTGATGTAATACAGCACATCATAGCCAGTAAGTTTAAACACCTGCTGTATGCTGAGCCTGTATACAGCATTGTGAGAAAGAAAAAAACCTGAATCTGATCATTGATAAAATCAAGCACAAATTTACAAAGGTTGAGGAGGCTTTTTCTAGATTAAATGAGATACCTAAAGAGATAGAATATGACGCATGAATCTTGACTACATCTGGTTAAAAAAAATACACAAGATGCTTTTTGGCAGTTGGAGAAATTTGAGTATCTACTATTTATTAGATAATATTGACTTCTTTCAAATTTTCTTAGGTATGAAAATGGTATTATGGTCATGTTGGATAATTCTATAATTAGGATACAAGCTGAAGAATTTAGGGGACAGGTGTCAAGATGTCTGTAACTTTTAAGTGGTTCAGCCAAAAGGTGTGTGTGTTTGTGTGGATAAAAGCAAAATCAGCAAAAGGTGAACTGGTGTAGCTAGGTGAAAGGCCATTCTTTAAACTTTTCTGTAGCCTTGAAGGTTCTAAAAATATTTTTATTTTGAAAGTGGGAAGAAAATAATGCTTCCCTCATGGGACTACAGATATAAAATTCCAGTCAGAGTGCCCAACCCAAATAAATAGCAGGTTCAGGAAACAGTTTTTATGAATACTCCCAAGAAGCATTAAAATCTGGTCATTCTCCTCTCCATGTACTGCTGTGCTTTGGAGAATGAGGTAGCCAACCAGAGCGAAGCTAAAAGAGCCCACAGTTGGTGGTGGAGATAGAATTTAAACCCGAGTGGTCTCTCTCCATAGAACCACCACTCACAGAAAGCACAGCACGAGGCCTGCCTGTCACTGTGCTGGGATTCAGGCTGGGAGAAGATGGCTGGCTGTTCAGGCCTTGCTTCCCCTGCCTCCTCCTGAACCCTGAGTCTCCACTACTACAGCAAGAAACTCCTGTTACAGCTCACCGAGAATGTTCACAAGACGGGCTCATTCTGGGCCTCAGAAATGTTGTGGCTGGGCAAAAAGAACTAGAGGGGCTTTGGCATCCTGGGCCTGTGTTCGACTCAGGCTCTGCCACTTCATTAACTGTGTGGGCCTGGGCCAATTCCCGGAGAGATGGGACTGTGACTACAGCAGTCATGATAATGGCTGACATTTCTGAGCAGTTATTCTTATGCTAGGCATTTTATGTCTATTGATTCCATAAACGAAGTAGATAGTATTACCATCCCTACTTTAGAGACCAACCATGTCAGGCCCTCTCCTATTTCTGCAATTTGGTACCTGCCATCCCTTCTGCCTGCACTTTGAAGGAAAATCCCATTCATCTACCAGGACACTCAGCTGGAATTCCTTCCTTCCTTCTCTACATCTCCAGATTATTTTATTTTCACCCTTACCAAAGTCTGCTTTACCTAAGTTAGATGGTTGCCTGACCATCCTGTTGGGGCTGGGATCTCCCCTCTCTGTATCCCCTGAAGCAAGCAGAGTAGGGGAAGGGAAAAAAATTTCTTCCTCTGCTTAGTTAGATCCATTTTCCTCAACCCAGACTGACATCTACCGGGGGCGCGGGGGGGCGGGGGGTGGGTGGGCCACATTTTCTGAATTTTAAAATACTTTTATTTTAAAACACTTTCTTGAAGTTTCAATTTGGAATCCAAGGCAAGGCCCAGGTGACCAACTGGAAGTCAGTGTAGGAATTCCCACCGTGTAGGAGATAGATTGAACATGGCTGGGTAAATTTCAAGGGTGATAATACTCAGTGAGTAATGTGTCTCCCAGTGAAACCAGATAAGAGTCCTCTCCCCCATGCTCCCCTCAATTCATCAAGATAAAAACTGGCTCACAGCCCTGGGGACTGTATGAGAGCCCTGCCCTTCACCTCCCCTTCCTGGCCTCCCCACACCCAACAGCTGTATCTTCAGCCCTGTTTTGCCCAGTTTATATCTCTAAGAAGCCCACAGGCTGCTCCATTACCCCACAACCCACACTGTAGTGGGAAAAGGTGCCATCTACACTAAGGTGACATGGACCGTGCTGTGAGCTGCCCAGTAGGGCACAGCGTAGGGAAAGGTGAGCTGGAGGAGGGAAGACACCTCACCTGCCAATCTGACTTGCCCATTGGCACAACAGAGTATTCTCTTACCTGGTGCACACTCCCAACAGGCTCCACCATTCCCCATCCCCTTCCAGAATGTTCCTTCACCATCTCAGCTTACTCTCAGGCTTCATTTTGTGGTTTTCCTCAGGCACAAGCACTCTATTTCAACCACTCTCTTCCTTATGGCCTTCCTGCTTCTCACAACCATTATAATTTATACAATTCAAATGCATCTCCTCATTACATCCTCACAATATCCACAGGAGGGTCGCCTTACAGATTGGCATTCAAAAGGGTTGAAGCTGGTCTTGTCACACAACCTGCATAGGGCGAGACATCTAAACTTTTGATTCTTCCCTGCCATTCACTCCAGAGTAAACCTCTGCCTCATTGAACTGCAGGAAATTAAGCAGGGTTTTTGGAGTAGGGAGTCCTGGGTGGTTTTGGGCAAGTTACTTCACTTCTCTTTACTCCTGTAAACAGATACAGTGATGCCTCTACAGTGTATGAGAGTTGAATGAGATCACGTGTGTGACGCACTGAGTTCAAGGGATGGGCTCTTTATTTCTATTACAAGGGAAGGAAGGTGTTCTGTGCATTCACGGGTGTTTGCCCACTCGGGCAACCCGGTACCCAAACCGTATCAGCGCGTGGCCAACCCTTGGCTTTCCAAGGCCGTGAAGGATCCTTTCGATCTTTGTGTCTCCACCCCACCTTCTCCAGTGCTTTTTAGCCCATTCCAACCAGTCCAACCTGGGCTTGTTTATCAGCTTTCTCAGCCCTCACTCCCCAGCCCCGGCCACCCGCTTCTGCGACCTCACCCGAGCTCTCCTCCTCACCTAGAGACTCCTCCCCTCCTTGCCCCACCCACCAGACTCCTCCCACAGTCTCGACCCTCTTTATCCGGGCTTTTCCAACCTTCCCCATCCATCCAGACTTCTTCCACCAGCTCCGCCCCCTCCCCCACAGTCTCTGGTGTTGCCATCCCCATTGCACAGATGAGAATGGCAAGGCTAGGGAAGGTGAGATGACCTCTCATAGTAGGACAGGCGCCAGGTGGGCCCGCGTCCCCTCACCGACTGTCTCTGAGCCCCGCGTCCCCCGCCGCGCCGCACCCACCTCCTGCCCTCGCTCTGCAGCCTCCCCTCCGCGGGCGGCCAGCGCAGCTTTGCTGGGGGGGGAGGAGAGCCGGAGCCCAGCCCAGGGGCGTGGCGACACTGGAGCCGCGCTCAGTGCTCCGGGACTTGTAGTTCTCCCTGGGCTCTTTGCCGCACAACACGCCGAGCGCAAACTCTATCTTCCAGGAGGCATTGCAGTGAGCCCTCCAGCTCCCCGCCTCGCCCCCGCCGGAGCTCAGACCGGCTGGTCTTAAAGGGGACGCGGCCTGAGTGGCGGTTCGCGGGGTGGCCCCCGCTCCGGCTCCTCCCCGTTTCCCGCACCTCGCCCCTCCCCACGCTTCGTCCTGCAGCCCCGCAGCCCAGCCACGGCGCGGCTGACTCGGACTCCCTGGGTTCAAGCTTGTGCAGAGCTGGGTGGGGAGTTTGGACTTTGCAGCGAAGGCAGCATCCCTGCCGGCTGGGACCTGGCGGAGGGCGTCCCCACTCCAGGGGGAGCAGAGGACTCGCCCTGACCTAGCCTGGCCTAGCCTAGTCCTTCCAGGCCTAAGCGCCCCGCCCAGGAGCCGGCTCTGAGGCCGGGGCTACCGGGGTCCCAGAGGTAAGGGGGCTGGGGGCGTGTGTGCCGGTTGTGGGGAGGGAGTGTCTGCACCCTGGCGGTTCGAGAGCCCTGGGCACGCGCGAAGGGCTCTGAGAGTTTGGGGCTGGGAGAAGGGAGGTCTAGGTGCATCTTGGGCCTCGCTGTGTGACCTTGGGCGAGTAGCTGCCCCTCTCTGGGCTTCCACCTCCTTCATCAATTGTGTTTGGAGGTGATCCCTCCCTCTCCCCCAATACAGTGAAGCTCACCGGCCTTTCGTGGGGTCCGTAGCTCCAGCCTGGGCTGGGCACCAGTGCAAGGTATAACAGAAAGGAGGGGTGGGGCTCAGATAGGGCACAAACTGGGGGGCCAAGAGGTTGCAACCGCTTAGCATAGGCTTTTGCTCTTCTCAGCATCCTCGCTTGGGCGTACTCCCCCTACAAGACTTGAGACTGTGTTAGCCTAGTGCCCGCCCTTCCAGAAAGCTTGGTGTGGGGGTGGGGACTTGTCTGTCTTAAATATGTGAGGGGTGGTCCCAGAAGTGATGGGTGATTGTGGTGTGTTCCTGAGAAGGGAATATATGCTCTCTCTCCTCCCATTCCCCTTCAGTTAAAGAGCAGTTGCGTTTTACCAGTAAAACCCTTTCTTTCTTTCTAGGAGACAGTTTGGTGGCCCAGACGAGGGCCTCCCAGTAGGAGGGCAAGGAGATCCTTCCCAAGGCTGCCTCAGGGAGAAAAAATTCAGTTAAAAACATTCAGAGACAGATGCTGCTGTCCAGAGAGCTGGGTCGGGGGTTTGCTGGGAGGGACACCTAGTGCTCCGCAGGCGGAGTCAGAGGAGGTAGATAGGATATAAGGGTCAGAGAGGAGAGGAAATGGGCTCCTCAGCTCTTAGGTGCTGAGTTGGGGCTTGGAGGGTCAGCTGTGCTCTGGAGTAGGGAGAGGTTGAGTGAGACCTTCCTGAAGCCCCTTCCCTGTCCTATGAGATTCTGTGAGCTTTTGACCTGAGTGCTAAACAGGAACAGTATTTGTTTTCTTTTCTTCAGTTTTGGTTGTTTGAGTCATTTCTAAATGGCTGAATCCTCACTCAGTCCTGTCCTGTGACCTCTGTAGGGACCTTCTTGGTTAATTTTGAGTCTCGGGGATATGGATATGAGGGACCAGACCCTGCAGAGGAGAGGGCAGTGACTGAGCCAGCCCCTGGAAGGTGCTTTCCTGGTGATAGCTTTAGTTTTATCTCATCTTGCTGTCACATTATCTCCCAATGGCCACTTAGCACTCCTTCACCCCTGTGCCGGTCCTTTGCTGGGCACTGGGAACAGATAGGTGATTGGAGCTCCTTCCAAAGGAGATCCCAGCCTGATGAGGGAGATAGACACAGAATCTAGTGACACTGCTGAGGGAGGAGAAAAGCAAAGAGGGCCTTGGGAAGCTCAGAGACTTGGACTGCAGGGGGCTTAGGAAATGCTTCCTAGAGGAGGGGCATGTGACCTGGGCCTTGGAGGATGAGTCAGAATTTGCCAGGAGAGTGAAAAGCCTTTCCCAGCAGAGAGGACATCACTAAAAGGTGGCCTGCAGGAAAAGCCCACTGCCCATATTCATTCAGATTTGTCACCACACAGTGTTTGTCAAGTTCATGTTCACCCCTGTCCCCCAATCAGCCAAGTGTCACAGAAAGGGCTTGAATGTCAGGTTCAGGAGTTCGTGTGTTATGCTGAAGGGGCTGGGGAGCCTTGAGAGTTTTGTTTTTTTTTTTTTTTTTAAGATTTTATTTACTTCTTTGACAGACAGAAATCACAAGTAGGCAGAGAGGCAGGCACAGAGAGAGGGGAGGCAGGTTCCCCGCCGAGCAGAGAGCCCGATGCAGGACCCTGGGATCATGACCTGAGCCGAAGGCAGAGGCTGTAACCTACTGAGCCACCCAGGCGCCCCGAGCCTTGAGAGTTCTGAGCAGAGAATGGCAAGATGGAGCTTACCATCTAATGAGATTAATCTGATGATTTTCACAGAGTGGGTCACATAGACCTGGAAGGGATGAGGAAGCCAGAATTGGGGCCCAAGGTGTGGGGGCAGGGCATTGGACACACACACACACACACACACACACACACAGACACGGTGCTTTGGGGGTGGTGGAGATGAGTCAGGCTTCACCATGCAGGAGCAGAGACCTGTCAATACACAGTGGAAATGTGGAGGGTCATCCAAAAGGGACAGATAAAGGGATCTGGGCCTTCCAGGGAAGGGATTGTGATGTTCCTATATTCTTACTGTGTGCCCTGGAGCAGATTGGGTGTTGCTGGAACTCTCAGGCTGTCATGCCAGCAATGAGAGGTATAAGCCAAGGGCTCAGGGGAAGAGCAGCAGCATTGGCTGGGAAAAGATAAGGGGTAGTCAGGTGGTCATCTCCCATTTGGGGGCTCAGAGACTCAGAACAGTGAAAGAGAACCTGCCTCAAGGCTGTGGGCACCATGGGGCATAGTGCCTGGGCTAGATTCAAAAGTTGGATTCTATTCTGCAGAACACAACCTCTACTGGAGGATGGATTGAGGGAGAGAATGAGGAGGTGGTGTTAGAAGGCTACTGCACTAGTCCAGGCAAGAAGTAAAGAGGAGCTGATCTTGGGGGCTGCTGGAGCTCTGGGGGGGATAGTGGAAATACTAAGTTAGCAGTGAGGGATGAAATTCCTAGTAGAATCAGTGAGATCAGGAGTGTATCTGTCTTCTTGCTTGACAGTTTCTGTTTCCCACTCGGTGCCAGATGGCCCAAGAATAGACTCATGACTGTCCCAGCCCTCATCCTTCTTATACCTCATCGCCTTCCCTGTCACGGCTGAAATGCTCCCCATTTTCCAGGTGAAAAAGCTGAGGAGCCTGGCAGGGACTCAGCCAAGGTCACCTGGTGATCCAGAAGCAGAGAACCTGGGTCTCATGCTTTTCACGCAGGCTCTTCTAACGGAGGATGCGGTACTGTGTGCTGCTGCACGCTGCCGAGCTCGGTGTGGGGCAAATGTTTCTTGGGGCAGAGCCAGTGTTGACAGGCCATCTCCTTGTCCAGAGCCTAGAGGAGTAATCCACCCTCCCAGGAATGCTCTTGGTCCGCAGCTCCCTCCGCCAAGGAGACCAAGTGCAGGTTCTTATCCCACCGTCAAGGCTGTGTGCCTCCCCCATGTTGATCCTCCACATTCCCATGTGTGCCCTAGGGAAATCAGGCCTTGTCCTGCCTCCCTTCTGTGGCCTGTGATGAGGTCAGGTGAGCTCCAAGCCTCTAAAACCCTTTTGCATGAATGCACCCAAGATAATGAGTGGGTTTAGTTGGTGACTATGGCGACAGCTGACCTCAGACTGCCTGTGTGGGAGTGGGGGCAGGTAGGCAGGGCTTGCCTGGAGTGGCTGGGCCACAGACTGCACGGAGGCTGCATGGCTGGCCTCGGAAATCACAGCTCTCACAGAAGGGCACCACTGCCAGGCCCCTAGCTGCCAGGTGCAAAGGTGTCAGGTAGAATGGTATGAAATTGCCAACATCTGCTCCTTTGCTTTCATGTGGTTCAACCTGATATCACTTATCCCCATTTTACAGAACAGAAAAGAGGCTCATGATGTGATTTGCTCAAGGTCACGTAATGAGTTGCAAGACTATGATAAAAAAAAATTTTTTTTTTTTTAATTTGACAGAGCGTGCGAGAGAGCGAACACAAGCAGGGGGAGTAGGAGAGGAAGAAGCAGGCCTCATCCCAGGACCCTGGGATCACAAACCGAGCCGAAGGCAGACACCTAGCGACTGAGCCACCCAGGTGCCCAAGACTAGGATAAAATTTGCCCAAGTTCACACTAGAACGTAGGGCTCAACATTCCTAGTCTGTTTTTCTTTCCACTTCCAGAACATTCCCTAGCCCCAGAACTCCCTTTCTGCCTGCTCCCAGGTCCTTTTCCTCCACACCCAATGTCAATATCCCATCGATTAGGGTTTCTTCTTGGCTGCCTGAATAACAGGATTTCTTGGCATCCTGGATTGAAAGTTTATTAAGTCCACTCTCCTGGAGGGCAAGATTAGGGGTTTGCAAGGATGGTCTACAAGGGAGGTTGGTCATAAGCACTCCCTAGGAAAAAGAAGACTAGGGATGAAGGGATACCAGTTTTTAAAGACCTGTTTAAAGGTCTTTGAGATTATGCCTTGCGTTGGCACACTTTACCAACATGTGTGCCTCCACCACCAGAACGTAGTTCCTAAGGGCAAGGACTTTGCTTCTAAAGTGAAGGGGACTGATTCACTGAGCAGTTCCCTGTGCTCAGCACCATGACAAGGACTTTATATTTGCTTTAACAACAACCCTGCAGGGTGGAAACAGACTCAGAAAGCATAAGTAACAGGGATGGTAAGCCGACTGCATTTCCAGATGAATCTCATTCAGAGTAAAAAGAGTTGAACACACTATTCCAGGAGGCTTGGAGTGGGCCCTGGGCATATGAATTTGTGCTCAGTTACCAGGTGGTTGTGAGGCAGCCAAACCAATGTCTGGGA